GAGAGCCCCACGCAGTGCACGTGGACGGAGGGGAGAGCCCCACGTGGTGCACGGGGACGGAGGGGAGAGCCCCACGCGGTGCACATGGACAGAGGGGAAAGCCCCACGCGGTGCACATGGACGGAGGGGAGAGCCCCATGCGGTGCACATGGATGGAGGGGAGAGCCCCACGCGGTGCACGGGGACGGAGGGGAGAGCCCCACGCGGTGCACGGGGACGGAGGGGAGAGCCCCACGCGGTGCACGGGGACGGAGGGGAGAGCCCCACGCGGTGCACATGGACGGAGGGGAGAGCCCCACGCGGTGCACATGGACAGAGGGGAGAGCCCCATGCGGTGCACATGGATGGAGGGGAGAGCCCCACGCGGTGCACGGGGACGGAGGGGAGAGCCCCACGCGGTGCACGGGGACAGCTCAGAGCTCACACAGTGCACGGGGACAGAGGGGAAAGGCCCACGCGGTGCACGGGGACAGCTCAGAGCTCACACAGTGCACGGGGACAGAGGGGAAAGGCCCACGCGGTGCACGGGGACAGCTCAGAGCTCACACAGTGCACGGGGACAGAGGGGAAAGGCCCACGCGGTGCACGGGGACAGCTCAGAGCTCACACAGTGCACGGGGACAGAGGGGAAAGGCCCACGCGGTGCACGGGGACAGCTCAGAGCTCACACAGTGCACGGGGACAGAGGGGAAAGGCCCACGCGGTGCACGGGGACAGCTCAGAGCTCACACAGTGCACGGGGACAGAGGGGAAAGGCCCACGCGGTGCACGGGGACAGCTCAGAGCTCACACAGTGCACGGGGACAGAGGGGAAAGGCCCACGCGGTGCACGGGGACAGCTCAGAGCTCACACAGTGCACGGGGACAGAGGGGAAAGGCCCACGCGGTGCACGGGGACAGCTCAGAGCTCACACAGTGCACGGGGACAGAGGGGAAAGGCCCACGCGGTGCACGGGGACAGCTCAGAGCTCACACAGTGCACGGGGACAGAGGGGAAAGGCCCACGCGGTGCACGGGGACAGCTCAGAGCTCACACAGTGCACGGGGACGGAGGGGAGAGCCCCACGCGGCGCACATGGACAGAGGGGAGAGCCCCACGCGGTGCACGGGGACAGAGGGGAAAGCCCCACGCGGTGCGCTTGGACAGAGATGAGCCTAAGAAGCTGACTCAGCAGGTACCTGAACCCCTGCTCTGGGCACTGTCTATGGCACGTCGCCCGCCCACAGGGCGCTTCCTGTCTTCAGGGGTCTCTGCTCTCGAAGTGGCTTAGAACCCTGAGCTGACCCTGTGCCCATTTCCAGACCTTGTACTTCCCACGGGTCTGAGCAGAGCTGACACAGCGACACGGGCCCTCTGCACTGTCACGCAGGCGAACGGTGACAATGCCGAGGGCGGGGAGGGCCGGGGCAGGGCTGGGGGAGGACCCGGTCGCACGTTACCTTTGGCCCTTGTCTTCCTGGGTAGCCCGGCAGCCCCGGGACTCCGAGCTTTCCCTGCGGAGACAAGAGGCGCTGTGTTACAGGGCCGCATGGCGTGTCTCCATCTGAAGGGCACGGTCCTCACGGGAGCCCCTGCCTGGCCTGGGATCGACCACACCCCTCCCCGCACTGATCTGAAAGCAAAGGCCCTGGTCCAGCCGCGTGGCTCAGGGGTTGAGCATCGACCTCTGAACCAAGAGGTCACGGTTTGATTCCCGGTCAGGGCACAGGCCCGGGCTGTGGGCTCCATCCCCAGTGGGGGGTGTGCAAAAGGCGGCCGATCCATGATTCTCCCTCATCATGGATGTTTCTCTGTCTCCCTCTCCCTTCCCCTCTGAAATCAATGAAATATATTTAAACATAAAATATAATAAAAAATAAAAGTGAAGGCCCCACGAGAGGGGACCGAGCCCTCGTGAAGCAGGAGAGGCCGGAGTCAAAGAACCGTCATCGACGCGACCAGCTCCAGCCTCTGGCAGACGGAGGGAGAGTG